CGCGTGACCTGTAAAAGATATAATTCAATATTTTATCCCGAAACCGTCAGAGACCTAATTATATTTTCGTAAGGCGCGCTGAAGGTGTTATTTTAAAACGTTATCATGATTGGACTTTGTAGCCAGTCAGTTCGAGCGTTTGGCGATATTTTAGTCACGGATGGCTTTGCAGTAAAATTTATTCATCGTAATATTAAATCTCAAAAAAAAAAGACAAGAGAAGAACTCGGCTGTGTTTCGACCATTCTATCGATTGCGGCATAGTTTGAATCGACATTGCTTTATTTAATTTATTCTAAGTTGGCGTTAATTCTAGAATATAAGGGCATTTCGGTGATCCTTCGTATACTAAACATGCCTGTCGGAATTGACCAATAGTTGTCTCGAATTATTTAATAAAACCGCGAACTGCTAATGGACACTGTCCCTTATTTTTGTTATTGTTCAGTGGTATAGACAATTAAGGTCTCTATATTTCATTTATCTATTATCTACACGGATCCTGTCGATTATTAAAAAATCAATAAATTAAATTTGATTGTTATTTCAGCTGTCCTCATTTTCTAATTAATCAGTTTAAACTTCTACAAAAGAGACAACGATTTGTCGTATTACATTTATCACTTGATCATGTTTGCCAAATTGACTATTAATTTTGTCATCAATTTACTACTCTGAGAGTTAGATGTGCCGATAGCCAGTGTGATTTTTCTAAAAATATATGAAAACTATTACAAACTTGAACAAATTTTATTTCAGTTAACAAAGTTCATAGGTACTTTTACATTTATTCAAAATTTGTTTTAATAACTAACTTATAGGTACGTTTCCGAAATATGGGTTCTCGATTTTTTTCATACTCTCCGATGTCTAAACTTCTCGGCCTTTGTCACCTCACAAGCCAACTTTACTACCTTAACTCATTACACTTTATGAAGTAAATGCGTCGCATTCCTCAACTTTCTATTTACAATGGAAATATTTCGTTTAAACGTCAGATTCCGGAGCAGGAGTAGAAGGTAAGTTTATACTCGGAGTGGATTTGACGAGCAACAAACTTCCGAGTTTGATATAAGCCTGGGTTAAGTGCTAATGAGGAAACGGCTGAAGCAAACGTTTCTGGTCTCTTGGTAAATTGATTCCTGAGCGAAATAAGCGCCAAGTGATGAGAAAGTTGCGGAAGTGTCAGTATAGAGAAATGAACTTTTTATTAAAATTAATTACTTTATTTTTACATTTTCAAAAGTTTTTAATTTTTTTAAATAAACTTCCATAGGCTACTACAATACTATTTACAAAACTTGTGGATTTCTTATGTGTCGGTTATTGTTGATTGAACTTACAGAGCAGTAAGTTTGATTCAGGAGAAATCTAGAAGTTTTGTAAATAGTATTTTTAATGAGTATAGTTTACACATTTTGCATCGCGTCATCGCAATAATGTTATATATAATACAATCAATATATAACAAATAAATTCTATTTATTTATTTAATAACAATAATTTGTGAAAAATCTTTTAAGGGATATAGCTAATTAAGAAAAGTACATACCGAATAGAGAATTGAGAGAAAATGTGAGCCATTCGCAAAAACTAATCTAAACGTCCAGTGTGCTAATCTTTAGATATGGGCCTGTTAATTACTTTTATTATATTCAAGAAATAAGAAAGGGAAAACGATATCTTTATCTTATACTTTATTTGTTATACGTGTTGGGCATCAGGAATCATTAATTTCTAGCAGTTGTCTAGCATGTTAGAATTTGAATAAATGCGAATGTATTGGACAACGTTAATTTGGCTATCTGATCGAGCAGATTTATGTTTATCCTAAATGTTTTTTCAAAATCTACACTGCATATAAATGGAAACTAGTTTTATCAATATTTATACCTGCTGCGAATATTGCTGTAGTTTATACGCAAGAATTTTTAAACGGAACGTAATAGTAGAGATACAGCGTTTTGATTATGTACAGGGTGACCCGTTTAAGAAGGGTCTATACCTTATCTCGAAATCTACGGGGGTTAAAAAAAATTTAAATACAAGTTGTTTCTATTAAAATGACCTTGATTTTTTTATTTTCCTATTCGTCACTTTTTTATGTACATGGTGGTGAAACAAAGTTATTTTTTTTAAATAGATCACCTTACATTTTATTGTATTTTTGGATAGTCCTTTCAAAGACACATTCAGCGATATATATGAGTATGGTCCTTCAAAATCGGGTTATGTTTCAGACTTCGGGTTATGTTTAAACCATCTATTGTTTTTACGACAATAATGCTTTTCTTTAGGTAGTAATCAAATTTAAGATATTTTCTTCCATTTTTCGCAAAATTTTCTCAATTTTCTTAAATGACACACCCTGTATATTAATGGATTTTCGAATAGTCACTTTATTAGCAATTTCATTTATATGACATAGTAAGTCTCTCTGATTTATCTTTTTGGCTTAATTGGCAAGTATTTTCTCATAATACATAAATTCTTTTACATTCATGATTTAAGAATTTTGTAAATAAATTCCTTAACTGTAAAAAAAAACTTTTCAAAAATATTTATATTCTTAATAATATAGACCACATGTCTTTAAAAAATATATAGAAAATTGCCTGTTGAAACACACACACACACACATAGACGTAAGACGAACCACACTTCAAACATGTTTTAAAATTATCAGTTATAAGCCAAAAACCAAACAAAACTACAAGAAGCAGATTTTAATTTAAAACTCGTATTCTGCAATTAACGAAAACATAATTTGTACCCATGAATCAACATTCACAAAGTCTGAAAAAATACGCATTATTGGAGTTCAGAAAATAAAAAAATGTGTTTTTGAAGTAAACAAACAGGAGCGAAGATCCATCCATCCATCCATCCAAAATTTGACATCCGTACGATATTTAAGCTTATTAAGGAACGAAATCGGCCACTTGTACATGATAATATTCCACAAAGAGAGCATCCAGATTTAATTTGGCAGCAAGATGGCGCTCTTTACCATCAAAATGGTGCAATCATTCGTTTTTTAAATGAAAATTTCAGAGAGTGGATTGGACAAAACAGAACTACCTCCTGACCAGCGAGGAGTCCAGATTTAAAGCCGATGGACTTTTTTTGTGGGGCACATTGACAGATATGGTTTACAAAGATAAATCCTCAACAGTTTTGGAAGTGCATCAATGGATTCGCGTGGCACTACACTGTCTGAATAGTATATAGTATATAGTACTTGAATTCTTCAAAACGGCGGATATATCGAAAAACTAATTTAATTAGATCTACTTTTCACGTGGAAATTTAAACGTAGAAATAAATAATTTGCCAAATTTAGCAACTTTGTGCAAAGTTTAATATTCTGCTTTTAATACGATTTCTTGACGATGCTCTAAAACGTTGATAAGGAGCTAATGCTCAGTTTTATATCTTAATAATTTAAATCTAATACCCAGTTTTGGTTAGTTTATCTGCCAATTAAGCCAAAACGGAAAGTCAGAGACTCGTACTATATTATATAATCGAAATTGCTATTAAAGTGGCTATTCGAAAATTCAATAATACACAGGGTGTCTCATTTAAGAAAATTGGGAACGTATCATTTTGCGAAACCGCGTATTTTAACAAAATATTTTAAATTTGATCATTGCCTAAAGAAAAGCATTATTTTCGTAAAAATTGTAGATGGAAAAAGGTTTCAAAAGTTAATAAGCAACCCAAAAATGACGGTTGAAAGACGACCTGAATTCTGAAGATGATCCCTAATAAGTTCGAAACGATTCATCACAGACCCATATTCATATATATCGTTGACTTTTATCTTTGAAAGGACTAACCAAAAATGCAATAAAATGTAGGATGTTATATTTAAAAAAATGTAACTTTGTTTTACCACACTGTATATAAAAAGTGACGATTAGGAAATAAATGCCATTTTAACAGAAACAACTTTTGTATTTAAATTAATTTTGTAACCGCATAGAATTCAAGATAAGGTATAGGCCCTTCTTAAACGGGCCACCCTGTACGTAGTTTTAAATTTAAACATAATAAATCATAGAATATAGAAAGTTCTCTTTTCATTTCGTTTTATTAATTTGCTTTCGCACGTGAATGACAGGTCTTTAGACTTATATGGCAACTTGTGACCCTGAGTATCTCTTTTAAGTGCTAGTCATGTTACCAACGTTCGCATCTATGTGTGCAGTGGTATAAGTGTCGCCAAATAAAATAGAGATTCATGAAATGGTGAAAATGAAGAAATCGTATTTTTTTTCAATAATTGCATATTCTTGTAATGAAAAGATCACGCCCAGAAATGGCCTTCGATAAAAAGTAAACAAATTATATTTTTAACACATTTGTACCACTGCATTAAGTAAGAACAATTTGGAGTTGTGTAAAATTTACTCCATGCATTAATAATGACTTAAAAAAACGTACCTGAATTTAAAATTAATTTTTCATCATAGACATATTACTTCTAGATTTCTCTAATTCTCTTGCTTGGCGAATCTCTTGAGTTGTGCCAAATTTATTGTAATATTGTTGAGCTTTTATTTACGGCATTCGCAAAGTTAGTCACACTCTAGCTAAGTATGCAAAGCAGGGTCTTTACATTCTGTATGTTTTTAAGCCGGGATATTTTTGGTACTGATGGTTCAGAATATGAATATTAGGTTACGCCTCCTACTTACTCATTGGAAATATTCAGCGCTCTTATATTCTTAGTGCTTGACAGTGGTCTACCTAATAAACTCAAAATATTAAAAATTATGTGTGCATTCCAGAAGTGCCATTTTTATTTTCAAGCCGGTTCTCTAATTTTCCGAAATGATGCTATGCTATATGATCAAATGCATAGGCACAGATTCCGAGATTTTATTTCGACCAATATTTATTATAGTAAACATAATACTCATCAAGACAAAAATTTTGGGCAACTCCACAAAAAATTGTTGTTCTTATGATTACTTATTTGTTGCTATTTGCAGGTGAAAATCTACCGGTTTTGGGCGTTCATGGACCGCACCGAACGGCACACGAACTATCCGAATTTCGTGCGCTCGTCGAGCCTCATCCATTACCTGTTAGTGATTTTCCATTGGAACGGGTGTGTCTTCCATTTAGTGCTCAAAAACGATGGTTTCGGGAGTAAAAACTGGGTTTATAGTGATTCCGCGGCCGAAGGTACTGACCACGTTAAGGCTTACCTTCAGAGTTACTATTGGTGTACTCTCGCGTTAACGACTATAGGCGATTTACCCAGACCTAGGAATAAACCGGAATACCTTTTCGTCATATTTCAGGTGTGTGATCAGTGGTTTTATGGGTGAAAAATTATTACCGATCTTAGTTCGGAAAACTTTATTAGCAAAACCAAAAATTTGAGCAACGATAGGATAGAATCCGTACCCGGTTTTGTTAATTTTTTACTATATTACCTTGTGTAGGAGTTTTGAGACGATATTAACAAACAGAACAACTCCATTTAGGCTGGTTTTAAAATTACTTTACTCTATGAGAACGCAACAATTTAGATGACATTGGTATCACTGATGGAAACACGTGATTAAAAATTCTTCCGATACATGATTTGTTGGTTTGTTGGCCACCAAACGATTCAACGTGTCCAAATCGAACAATTGTTTTTCTTATCAAAGCAAATACATCAATCTATCAATAGGCGCTAGATAAAAGTACTAAAAATTATATTTCGGAAAATTACAAAAGTATAGAATATGCACAAACACATAAGCAAAATACTGGTTTATAATATTGAATTATCCTTAAAAGGCAAAAACCAAATATTTAGAAGCATAGTTCTTAGGTGTCATTCTTGGCTAAAAGTTAAGCTGTAAACACCACATGAAAGAAGTAGGCAATATATCTTACCATGTAAGGTGTTTTGGAAAATGGCTAAACAGCAGAAAAAAGCAATAAAAATCGTATTAAAAAGGAAACACAGTCGACCGCACTTCAAAGGACTTCTATGCTAAAGATAATCTCGTAAACTACACATCAATGAATCCATTCTTATAATAAAAAAACTAAAACCCTTGTCCTAATTTCTCAGCACAGGCTACACAGATTTTGTATAAAATCACATTAATAAATAAACTGCAATTCATAATCTTGTATGAAATAACAGAATGCATGGACTTTGATTCGCGTACAATTATTTTTTTTTAACTTTGCAACTAACAAAAGCTGCAAAAAAAGTTAGTATGTTTTTATTAAAACTTTATAAATTTAAATAGTTTTTTGGGTATATTTCATTTTGCAAATGAGGCTTCATTTGTTCAAATTAAACACTCGAGTGCCACCTGAGAAGTTTATGAAACGTCCTCGAAATTCCACAAACCAACAAATAATGTCCCCGAAGAATTTTTCGTCACAATGTCACACTATCTAGTACCTTTTAGACCATTTGTCTGAGAAATGCTGTCCAAGTTTGCTACGTGATGGAGCATATAACGTCTAATAAAGAAATCTCGCTTGTCGGAAAAATATTGTTTCCAACAGAGTTGTTGTTCGAAAACACTCTTTGTATTTATAATACGGCAAGAATACACAAAAAATAGTAAATATATGAGACCTACGGAATATTTTCGTGCGAATCAACGAGAGTTACAGTCAAATAAGCACAAATGTGTTCATTTTCATTGGAGCTGAGATGAAAGATGCCGCTCTTATAATTTACCACACCTCCAAAATAATACTCTCTGATGTTCACTATAGATGGGAAAATGTTCAATTTATAAGTAATGCAAATTTTTTTTTGCTCATGTTATTTTCTAACTCAACTTTTTTCATTTTAATATTGAAAAGTTCGCCATTTTGGTCACTTTTATGATGACAAATTGCACATCAAAAAGTTTCCCAACTCTTCCAAGTATAAAGTTTTTCATATGTAATGAACATTATTGACAATGTTTAAGCATTGAGATTTTCTCTATGGGAAAGTTTTGCGAATTGAAGCTCTGATACGCTTTCTGAAAAAGGCGGGTTTTAAATCGACGGCAGTTAATTAATGGAAAAAGTCCGTAAACAAAGCCTCCGGTGTTCTATAAAATGATTTATATGAACGGATATTAAAAAACATTGTTTGGGTGAATGTCAGGCATTTTTTACGCAACATGATCATTTCTCAATTACCTAATGGCAATCGCCGATATTACTTTTTTGTTAATTAATTTCGCTTAAGGGTCCCTAAAATATGTGACGTTTTTCTGCATACATGCCAACGTTTTTGCATGTACGTTGATTAATACGCATTCATCAACGGAAACATCAACGTCCATATAGATGTTTTTTATAAGACAGTCTTTTACGTAAAGTTTCAAGTGATGCCACGTGGACAAAATCTACGCCGTTGTTGTAACCACAAAGGGTTATCCTTAAATTTTCAACTATTTATGCAAAAACCAGTTTTTTCTTAATTCAAGAATTTGCAACCAACCTCACTAAAACATGGACACACACGGTTTTATGTTAAAAATAAATGTAACAAACAAAATTAACATGAAAGATAAAAACGATAAAATATTTTCAATATAATATACCCTGGTTTCCAATTTGTGTCAATAATACAATAATTTGTTGTGTACGAAGTCCTTAAGCCTTTTAATTAAAAAATGATAGGGGTATTTGTCTAGTTCATAGTGTTACATCCACATCCTTAATAATTACATAGCGGGTATCTCATTGAAAAAAGTGACTTTTTGTCGTTTAAGATGTTGCAAAATTTTATAGTAATTAACTCTCAAACTTTTCAGTTTTTGACCAATTTCAAAAATGCATAAACTCAAAAATTACAGGGTATCTCATTTAAAAATCTAAAGTATCACAGCAACAACAATTCAGTGCATCCTGTATATATGAAACCATTATTATTTAAATTACCTAAACAAAGCATTAAACTTTTGAATTAAACTCTTTCAATCTCTGCTAACTTTCCAGATAGGATAGTGGGTAGTTTTTGTGGGGGAAAGCATAAACCTACCAATTACATACTATTGACAATTAATTATTATTATTAACACTATTCTATACTGAAGCATTCAAATGACATTCACCCAAATTTTGATGTTAACGCTATAACAAATGGCGATTAACCCGTTACTTTTTCTCGGCCTCCGAAAGCCAAAATAATAACAACCTGTGGCTACTAATGCCGGCGCTCGATGCCAATCTCTGTGGTGGGGTTCGGCTTATCTCATTCATAAATTTAAGAATCGTTCCAAGTTACCCCAATGCGGATATTCCAACGCGGCAAACGCCACCGTTGCGCTGTTGTCATATTTATTGTTACACTTACAGTTACTTTTTGGACTCCTACTCTTTGCCACTGTACTCGGACACGTTGCCAACATCGTGACGTCAGTGTCGTCGGCGAGAAAAGAATTTCAGGGTAAGAGTCTTTGAAATTTTTACGTATTTTTTATTTATTTGCACGAATAAAATTAACCCCTTCCTCTAAAAGTAGATCGTGATTTCATTCTTTGTCTGACTATAATATGTTAATTTGGGTTCATATTATTTTAGTTCGATTACTAACTAATTTGAAGATCCGGTGAAAGTAGATGAGCCTAACCTATTCGCTCAATAATTTAAGATATTTTGATGGTAAATTGTTTTTTTTAGTGGAAATCGATCAAACTTGCAATATTCTTTAATTTTCTACCCAACAAGTCAAAAGAAGACGTGGCAAATAGAAAATTGATATAAGCATGAACAAAGCGAGCTAGTAGTCAATAAGTCGTGGTCAAATTTTCTTATTTTTCTTTATTTTGTCCATGTTAATTCAAACCTAATTCGTAAAATCAGAAAGTCGAATGAACAACAGTCTGTGTACCAAAACAACAAGAACCTGTTTGTTTAGTGACTAATTTCATGTGGTATATTAAATGTGAATTAATTCATATTGATAACTTGTGTTTGAAGACATTTTGCACAGCCTTCTATAAATTGAAAGATTATCTCTCTATTTTCATTTGGATTCTTATTTAGGTCTGATTTTTTCTTTCATTCTACATATTTATTTATTTAATTATAGGTTTATGGATCAAAAGTAGAATGTACAAATAATCAAAAACTAACCAAACCTAAAAAAACCAAAATATGTAAATCATTTTCACTACTCTAAATTAAGAAATAAAATTAGCATTCTTTGAGATAGAAACAAAAGTTGAACAATCAAGTAAAAAACACAGTTGTGCTGGTTTTACGAAGCATGAATGTCATTTTGAAAAATCAAGATATTTATAAACAGAGTACACAAAATACTGCATTTTAAACTTTGGGGAAGAAAGCATTGCATTCGTTTTAGCAGTAGGTAAATAGAGACGATTTCCGCGGTGGTAGCGTCCTATAGACATAAAAGAATAAACTGTTAGCTTAGAGTATTGTTGAAACGACTTTGTTATAGATATGGTATGTTATGAAAATTCGAATCAAATCCGTATAGTCATTTTAAATTGAAGATCTTCCAAATTTTCTTTGAATTTTTTCAATTTCTTCATTCAAATATTCATAATTATTGACCCATATTCCGTTACAGTTTTCCAAATTCGATGCCTACATCGGAATAATACGACTATAACATTTTCATTACTGGTAGAATTTTTCAGCTCCTTGCAACTTCTGATTATGAAATCCAGAATTTTAAAGGTCTTGCGTATAGTTTTCGTTACCTAAATTGTGATAATTGGCGATATTTGAACTTACTTAATCTGATAACATGGTTCAATTACAAAAATTAGCAATAAAATCTCTACGCGTGTAGGCGTTGGAATGTGCGGTTTTATTTGAATACATTTTGTTTTGATTTGGGATAGTTATCCTATCGGGTAAAATCTTCCTATATGGACTTTGAAAAACTAAACTGGTTTCTAAAGACTAAATACAATCACAACAACCAAAACTGTTTTGCTTTATTTTGTTTTATTATAATATTAATTTTAGTTTTAATTGTGTAATTTCCGTAGCAATGCTATACCTAGTTTGACAATTGTGGATTTATTTTCAACGTTAGTGTCTTTTATATCCTTTTTTATGGAAATGTAAGTCCAAAATTACCAGCTTTGTATTGACATTTAAAAAAAACACAATTTAAATATTATTTTATTATATATTATTGAGAAATTTCATTATTATTAAACCTGATACAAATTCTGCTATTAAATTCTTACGTGTAGATGCCCTATTTTGCCAATAGCGCTTGAACGTAGTCTGTGTCGAATTAGATTAATATTCCTGCAATTCCCTCCAACCGGAACATTGCCCTCTACGTTCGTTGAGGAGCACCAGGAAATTTGAGAATTCCGCTTTCGTTTATTAAGATTTCTTTGTGAATTTTATCTTTTATTGTGTAGGAAAAGGGCTTCCTTTGTAAATGCACACAATAATACTTTTATACATATTATAATTTTTAGTAAAAACTGGTTCCACCTTAAGTAGCAGCAATATCACTTTCGGTAACGTTTTTTTCAAGTTTGATAAATAAGAATTTTTCATGGTTTTTCTTAGTCAATATTGCAGTTACTAACTAGCCGTATTCTACTTTCTCGATCTTTATTTCTATGCAACGAAAGAAAACGTGGTTAGAAGCGTTTGCTATTTTATGGTCCTGTAATAAAACAACATCCGCCTGAAATGCTCCCGTACAATACAATTTATTGATTGTATTGTTTGGACCACTGCCAAACTAGCACTTTAAGTAACACTTATTGATTTTGACACTTTGTTACTGTTTTTATTAAAACAGAGCCAAATTACCGAAAGTCACGTGGGCAGTGAAAAAAGACTGACCAGATTTAAACGATAAGTAGTTAACCAAGTTAAACCAGAAGATCTCTGTTTAACTGATATTTTAAACCAGGGAACGGCTGCTGCTCATTCCAGTTCTGTATCTTAAGCCTATTTATGGAGCTGGCCATAAATTTTGTTTGTCTAAACTTTTCAAGTTTTCATTAGGATTCTTCTAATAATCTGGATTCAACCTCTTTAGTAAGATAAATTTATTCTGATATATTTCCGTATTATTTAGCTAATTCCAACTGTTCAAGAACCTGTTGTGAATTATAAACGAGATTGTGAATCCATAAAACCCTAACTTGGGTCAAATTCATATCATAAAATTTTACGAGGTTAGTCGATGTCGTTCTTCAAATATTTTGTTTGAATGTTTGGACAATCCAGCAGTATGCCACAAATACTAGGATAAATTTGTTAGTTCTTTATAGCATTTAGAATATATGTCATCAGAAATTTTGTTGTAGAGACATTTTTGTCTGTCCATTTTTAGGAGTATTGAGTAATGCCCTGTTAAAAGTAGCGTAAAATAACAAGATTGCTTTCGAAAAATCGTCGGTGAGCCGGGCAAATTCGTCGCAAATAGCGCGAATCAGCTTTTTATTTTAAAAAGAAGGCGCTTCGCGGATTCTTGTAGGGACGCAATGTTTTTCTATCGTGCTAAGTGTCCTTCACATCTCGTCGAACTTCAAATTTACGGCATACTTCGGTAAATATCAAAATTTGTACTGGTAATTGCAATTTAAAATGATATTTTTTCTTGCGTCCCCTGCATTATAGACGAAACCTCAAACTCTCTCTCAACACAGCTTACTATACCGTTCATATCAAATTATCACATCTTTAAAAAAATTTCATGTATCGCCAAACTTCACCCACAAAAGCGGAAATTTCTAGGATCTATTAGAATTTTTTGCCGACAAACGACGTAGCCTGTATATAATTCCAACAATGTTCGAAATAGGGGATATAGCTCTGGATCTGCTTAGTTTCCTGGTATCCGAATATTTATAATGGAGTAAATGGTTTTCAAAAAACTACTTGTTTTCTGAAACCATGCAGTACGTGGTAATTGTAAATGACGTCATCGCATAGAGATTGAGGGCGAGAAATGGAGATTTTCATTTGGATTTTTTCAAATATCTCGAACAGCGTATATGATAGACGAAAACCGTAAAGACAAAAATTGTAGCCCTTGATACGGCCTATAACACTTTTTGAACGGATTAGCTATTGTTTGTACGAATTTTGATTTGCGGTTAATAATTTACTCTCTAAAAGAACAATTTTTACCTTGTCTATAATCAAAAAAAATGCGTGAAACAAAAATTATAGCGCCGGGTCTCCCACATATTACGGATATAAAATTTTTCCGATCGGATGAATGGCTTTGAAGGAAAAGATGTTTTTGAGGATACCAAAATAACAACAACAAAAAAATCAAAAATAAAAAAAATACTGCGCGTTAGTTTATTGCTTATTTAAAGAGTCCCATGTCTGAAATCGGTAGCTGCAAATTTGGAGTACTTATTATGTTTTTTAATATTGCACGGAATATCGCGAACGCCCTACAAACTTAAAAACCGTAAATACAAAAGTTTAAGCTGTCTATATCGGCTATATCGTCATGTAAAAAAACAGACATCTAAAACACAGATTCGAAATTATTGCCAATTTTCAATAATAGGAGGACCCATTTTTCAGTTGTTTTGAATTTGCGGCGCACCCTGTATATTCTTGAAAAATTGTCACGAATAAAAGTTTATAGAGTCATATTTTCTGCTTCTTCTGATTCAAGAATTTTTTGGTCTAGTAAACAGTTTTTGAAAAATGATGTTTTTTGTAGACCCTTACACGCGCGATTTTTTATTTTTTTAGAATACTTCCCGACCACCCAGCCGCCTTATTTTCAATAGGTTCCGTCACGGGGCAAAGCCAAATATGACGTCGATTGCTTCAAATTTCGGACACTTATCGTGTTTCATAGCAAGGTCTTACAAGCCTTGTGGAGGGTTAAAAAAGAGGCAAATTTCAATTTTGTAGCTCCAACGGTTCGAAAGTTATTCAGGAAAAACCAAAAGACGAGAACGGAGAACTTAGAATGGAGAACGGAAAAACAGGAAAAAAATTTTTTTTTGACAGTGATCATTTCTGTACCAACGGCGATCCCATAGGACCTACCGTTACCGAGATATAAAATTTTTATACGAGCGCAGATACTTTCGAAAATTCGATTTCATGGATTTTCGAAAGTAACAAGGAGTTATTTCAAATTTGTTGTGAGACCATAAAATCAATGGTAACTTCATAATTGCAAATGCAACAACCTATATTTTATGACATATTCGGATATTTTCTATTCTCATTCTTTATCTACATTGCATTAAGCTAGTTTGCTTTTACTTAATTTTAATATAACATGATTTTTGGCTTCTAACTTAAACTGAGAAGGTAAATTTGTCATTATTGTGGAGATTCAATAAAATTAATTTTACTAGAAAGTAACCCCTAAAAAAATAAATTTATAGTGACCAGATTAACATAATAATATAAATAATATTTAAACGAAAACAATAATTAACCTAATTTCTACTAAAA